AGCGGCCCCGCTCGGCGTGGCCAGCGGACGCGATTTAGAGCAGCTGCCAGGCGCTGGTACGGCGCCGAGCCGCCTTCGGAGCCCCCCGGCTTTGGTGGAGCCTGCCGCGTAAGCGGGCTGGCAACGAGGGGTAATCGCTGGCGTTTGGGGGGGGGCTAACGAGACAGAAAATTGCTGGAAGAGGAGGGGATAAGCCAACCCCGCTCTGCAAAACCCTCCTCGCACCCCCGGCAGGCTCGCGGACGGGCAGCGAAGTGCCCGCGCGGCTGCGAGCCGGCCCCGGGTTCTGCCGCTGATGCCCTCTTCGGCGTAGGGCACATCGCTCAACCTCCAGGCCTGGCTTTGACCTCCCGAATCCAGGCTGCCGGCCTTTCAGGGCCTCCTCTGCCCCTTCCAAAAGGCTGCTTTGATTTATTTTATTTTATTTTATTTTTTCCCCCTCCTTCCCTTCTTATTATTGCAGCTATGAGAGACCATTGTGTTCAGCAACTCTGACTTCCTGCATTAGGCAGGCCATAAAATTTTGCGTGGTACTAAGCCTTCTTATTAGCGTTATTACTGAGAAGGGAACGAGCGCAGAAAGCTCGGCTCCATGGGTGGGTAGCTTTTCAAAGCAATCACCTACAGCCGTGCAACCTGTTATGAAAACTCCCTGTATAACCAACATGGATTTGTTATGTGCACGCGGGTAATTATACGGAAATCGCCGTCTCTCGACACATAAAAGCATGCCGTGTTTGTTCCGTAAATTAGGGGGGTCAGCACAGTTGTTGGAGATGTTTTCCCGTCTCACCCCACGTCACGCATGCAGGTGGCGATGGCAGAGGTTGGCGAAGCTGGGCGCTGGGCTCGCGTCTCCGATGGCCTCCTTGCACCCGGTTCGAGGCTCGCCGCCTTGCTCTCCTTACAGGCGGAGAAAGGCCGTGCTACGTTAATTCCCAGGTAGGAAAGCGCAGTGTGGAACGCTTAATGCCTGATAATAAGCTTGGCCCAGTCATCCTTCACACTCGCCACCGGGCTCCAGCATTGGTCTTGGCTCAGTTCTTCCTCCTCAGGCCGTGGTGGAACTGCCCACGGAGGTGCCACGGCCAAGCAGGTGCTGGGGTTTTTAGCAATGAGGCATCTAGAGCCTCCAGCCCAGGCAGGGCTTTGCTGCGCAAGGTACCAAATGGGACTTGGGTGGCTGAGGCCTGAATAGGCTTTGGTTTTAGGTTGAAGGCAAGAGCTAGGAGATGGGGGAAGGCCTGGAAACTTGATCAAGGGGCACTGCCTTGGGCAGGGGCTGCAGCCAGGTGCAGTGTCTGTGAAGCATGGCTTGGAGGGGAGCTTAGGAAGGGTTTAGCAGGCACGGTGCCCTCTGGGAGGAGATGAGCACATCCCCAAAGAGCAGGACAGGAGAAGAAAGGGATTTAGCCAAGCACAGTGTAAGATTTTCAGTCTCTTTGGTCTCAAAAGCTGCCCCATACCCACCTCCCACTGCACCAGCGTTTCCCCTTAACTCTGCCCACCTCAGCCCCTCTCTTCCCACTGATGCAGGCTGGCTTCAGCCCCTGCGATCCTCAGGGCACAACCACTCTGCAAGGCCATGCCATCACCTCTAGCCAGGCCGACACCTGCTGCTGGTCAACCTAGCCCTCCCTCAAGGTCAAGGCCTCCAAGGCAAAGATCTCAAGAACCTCCATAGACCAAACTGAGTCATAGCAGGACACGGGAGAGATTGGCATTGGATTTTTTCCCACCTTCTCCTGCACACTGAAGCCTGTAGAGGAGAAAGGGGTGAAAGGACACAAGGAGCCTCTGGGGCTGGATTCTGCTCAGCTGCTGGGCATTGCTGTGCCCCCAGGTGGCATGGGGAAGCTTCACCTGAGGCAGGGCTCCTGCAGGAGGGCTGCACGGGGTGGGAAGGGAGAACAGCCTGAACTCATCAAGATGTTCACAGACTGGCTTCCCTTCTCTCTGGTTTTGTTTAAATTAAGCCATCTGCCCACATTAAACAGTAAATTATCTCAGCTGCTGCCTGTCTCTCCATGGGGAAAAGGGCCAGGGAAGGAGGGTGAAGGCAGCAGGGCTGCAAACCAGGCTTTCACTTAGGGAAAACATTGGTCTGGTGGAGGTATGTGTCATTTCCTCTTCCATGCACTGGAGATTAGCCCCAGGCAAAGTGGGGCAGGTTACCTCTGCGGGATCATAGCTGGGCTCCTCCAGCCTTGGAGGAGGGCTGGAAATTGGTCTCTAATCTGCCTAATCGAGAGGAGCACTTTGTGGTGCGACCTTCCTTGGCTCACGTCCTTGGGAGTCCTGTTCTGGGCGGCAGCTGCCTGCTCGAGCGATGAAATAAAAGCCCATGTCGTAAATCTTCAGCTCAGAGGAACGAAGGGACTTCAGCATAGCAGGATGACCCTCTGGAGCTATGACAGGGAACGGCTCCCTGGGGCCGCAGCCGAGACGGGAGCAGATTTAGCTCGGGGCTTCTGCTTGGTTTCTGGCTCAAATGGATCTTGCAAAGAGGGAAATGCACACTGGTCTGGTAGTTGAGGGATGCATTTTTCACCATATTATTTAGCTTGGCAAGACTTCTCTGTTCTTTGGAGATGTCTTTGGAGGTGAAGCCACCTCCTGGGTAGCTGGCTGGTGGGTGAGCTCCCAGTGCAAGACCCCTCTTTCCTTGGGCAGTTTGGAGCCAGTCCCAAACCTGTTCCCTTTTGCTCTGGACATGCTGGCCCTCTCTCTCAAGTGCCTTTCTCACTGCTGGGTTGGCAGTAAGTGGCTGAAGAAGTCAAAATGAGAACTGCTAGGGATGTCAGGCAGAAATACCCTGGGCACAGAGCCCTAACCGGGAGGCAAGTAACCACGTGCTGATGTGAAGCTGAGCACTCCTGTGCTGGCCCTGTTTCTGCCCGGTCCTGGGAGTGAGGATGGAGGTGAGCACGTGCATCCATCCTCCAGATGCTGCAAGGAGCCAGGTGCACAGGTGACCCGGCCAGGTGTCCTGGCCGTGGACTGGCTGCCTCTGGTGGCAGATTCAGCCATGCTTGGTCCCCCTCTGCTCCTGCCACGCTGGATGGTTTCCCATGGCAACGTCACCACTTAGGCACATACAAGTCTGTCACCTTGCCAGACACCCCCCCTTCCCTGCTGACCCCCATACAGTACTTGATGCTATGACAACACCCCAAAAATAGCCATCCTCGCCATGCAGCTGTTTGGGTCTGGGGAAGGACGTGGGCTGGCCAGGTGGGACTTCTGGCATTCACTACCAGCTCCTTGCTGAGGCCTGGCTCTTGTCATCAGTGTAACGAGCTCTACAGCCTCTGAGTCTGTCCCCAGGGCTGGGTCAGGGAAGTGCTGGGCAGCCGGTTGCAGCTGCAGTGAGTTCTGCTGTAAGCTGCTGGCAACCAGTTATCCCAGCAATTCAGCCTTGTTGTGGGGACAGATGTAGTCCTTGGATCCCATGATGGCACCTGCAGATGCAGGACCTCCTGCATCCCCCAGGCTCCGGGGGGCTGTAGGTGGCCCTCAGAGAGCAGCAGCCAGAGCTGGCCGACATCCGCTTGGCAGCTGGCCCATCTCGCCCAACTCTGGATGGCGAAAGGCTGCCTGCTTGGTCAGACTTGACTTAGAGGAGGCGAGCGGCGCACGGGAGTCCCTGTAGA